TGTTGTTGTTGCTGTTGTTAGTACTAGCGCTACTACTAGCTGTGTTGGTTCATTGTCGTGGTTGTTGTTATTAATGTTATTTTTTGTCCATATACTGTATTTATAGTGACAACTAGCCTTCCGTCCACGGATGGTTCGGTGTATGATAGCCACGGCCGGTCCGAAGTTCGGTGGAGTCATGTCGCCAAGGAAAACCGTACTTGGTGAATAGCATGGCTGTTCATGCATGGCTGATACGGCCAAACTTGGATGATAGCCAAAGCGGCTCAAAGGCGGGCAGCACCAGGTAGCCTGGTTGTTTTAAGGGGAAGGGTTAGCCTCAGCCACGTCCGGCTTTTGTCCCCCAGCGCTGCGCTTAGTTTTCTTCAGAAATGTTCAGAACTGCAATGCAAGCCGAACACATTGGAGGTGTTGGGACTGCGGCTGGGAATTCGTCATAGGCTCATAGACCGGCCCAGCTGCATTCTCCGGGAGAAATGCCAATCGCCCGAAATGATTTGTGTTGCAAGCACAGGGCTAGGTTACTAAACCCTACCCCTAAGTATTCAAAACCAAAGCCAAAGCCCGGTGTACAGAAACTGCATGAGGTTTTTTCGACTTTTGCAGCTGTGCCATGGGCAAACACAAATTCATCCTCCATTTGGACACGACACTTTTGACCTTTCAGGCGATGATCTCACGATGCATGATCACACGATCTCGCTTCCCCGCACAGGCCAGGCAATCACTGGGGCGGGACGCTGCCGACACGTGGTTCCTTCCACTGGGGTAGTGCACTCCGACTCACCCACATGGAAGTGGAAAACCCAGCACCTGTTTCATATTCACTCAAATCTGTTTTCCTTCCGGGCCGTCCCCACCATCCACGTAGCAGTGTGGATGGTGTTCCTCGGAGTGTAGCGCTTCGTATAGCCATTGCGGTGTTCAAAAACCGCTGGACGACGGGTCCGTTAGAGTTACGTGTTGTTTTGCTTGTTTGTATATGGATGTAAGTATGTTTGTTTGGCTGTTTGTTTTGTTTGTTTGTTTGTTGGTTTGTTTGTTTGTGTTTGTTTGCGTTGTTACACCGATGTTTTTGTTCGTTGTTTTTGTTTTTTTTTCTCGGAGAGGATGGACTATCATGGACTATCCAGATTGGTGCAAATTGACGGAACATCCATATATAATTGAGAAGCAAAACGTGCCTCCAAATCGATACAACCCTCGCTATCTGATGTTCCCTTGCCGATCTTTTTATGAAGAGCTTATGTAAATTAGCACGCGTTGAGGATTCCTAAGAAGCCTCCGGTTACATCGAATTGAATACACTTAGCTTGCCACGCAAGCGACACCTGTGTCAACCCTACACGACCGGAACTGCAACATGCACCGGCCAATGTCTTCGAACTTCAGGGAATTCAACTCAACGTCAGGATGTCATTCAAGGACGTCAGGACGTCAAAAAACAAATCATCCTGACATCCTTGAATTCCCTGGCAAGTCTCTCCCAAAAGACGGTCAAAATCTGAATCCCACCCATGGCTTCGACCCTTTTCCTCTACCAAAAAATGCCCGATGCTTTAATCTGTAGAGGGTTAGATGAACGACCAGTCAGTGGTTAACAGAGACATGCCAGTCCCTTCTGCACGCGGCAGCTCCGCGCACCGCGGTCGCCATGCCTTTGGAGGTCTTAATTCGGAGCTTTGGAGCTTCTCAGGTGCCGCAGGGGCATTGAGGATGACGAAAAGGACCTTCTTGCCGGAGGGCATTCGGTTTGGGCTCCTGGTAGATTTCTTCGCATATGTTCATGATAGTTTCAATGAGATCCCGTTTTTGGACCGGCATTGGACATGCCAAGAGCCCGATTGAGGCTGGACTCATGGTCTTGAGAGGTGGCGCTTCCGTCCTCTCGCAGGAAGGGCTGATCGCCATTTGGACACCGGGGTCTAGGACGACACGTGCCTGATCGCCGTTAAGCACTCCATCCACTGGTTGATGAAATGACTAGCTCAAGTGACTCTGATGACTGGCAGCCTTGAGGCTCGCTAGGAGGAAGCTTCGGGTCCTCATAGCCATGGGACTGCCATATATGCCGATCAGTTGGGGTGGTTTTGGAGGGTCAATGTAGGCATATATGGCATACATGGAGTGTTTGGGTAATATAAGTGATTGTTCCTTATACTATTATGCTTGTGTTCTTGTTCTCGCGATGGTTCTGCCATGCAGGTGTTCCTGCCTCAATGATGAGTCATGCGTTTCACCCCTGCCACTAAACAACAATCTTTGCGCGATAGTGGGGGCTGTGGTTTTGTGCGGATCTATTTTTCTGATCGACAAGAAAGCTCCAGGTGTTCTTTGTAGCTCATTCTTGCAGGCTGCACAACCAGCCTCAGTGCCCTTCGTGGGATTTGAGGCGTGGCACACCACGCGTGCACCATAGCAAGCGAGAAAGCATATTTCAGCAAACCAGCCCTCTTCGAGAATCACAGGTTCACTTGTCCATGAGATTAGGATACAATTGGATTCTACCTGGCGGTCTATGAATCAGATGACTAGAGACTGGCAGATCCTATTGTTTGTGACTTGCAGAGGACGCAGGGGAACAGAACTGGTTCTGGCACTGGACGGGACATATAATATATATAAGGACCGGAGGAGTTCCGAAGCTTGGATGCTCGATGTAGTGCTCAACATTCAACTGGGGCGCTCCAGACCACCTAGAATTAGATGTAGCTAAGTACTGAGCACTGTCTCAATAGCTGGAACTCGTTCGTGTTTTTCCCAGAAGGATTCAGAAGCCAATTTTCTCGGTTGTTTGAGTGGGTCCTGCACTTGTTTTGGCTCCTACAGTCACTGAAGGGGGTGGGGCGCCCTGCGGGTCCTGCGGGTCCTGCGGGTCCTTTCAACGTGTTGCTTTGGAAGTGCGGGTTTTGCATGGTTTTGCGGGTTTTCGTACGCGAAAGGGGAGCCTTTCCAGCGAGTCCCAAGCTGTTTGCAGCCCTTCCAGCGAGTCCCAAGCTGTTCACGTATCTTGACAGGGCTCGGAGCGCTTGGGCGCCGGCCTCAGTGGTGGCCTCGGTGGACCGTTGTGTGGTACCACCAGGCCGAAGTGGTGGTTCATGTCGACCTACCACAATTTGGAGGAGGAGCGATTCTCTTCATTCAGTGTGAAGAATGTGGAATTGGACCAGCAACCTGGGGCAAGAACCAGACCAACCACCAAGCCAGTCATTTTTCGAGATGGGCACGGGAAGGAACCACATAGCTTAGGGGCATGTTGTGATCACCAATGTCGCAAGTCATAATTACCACTGAGGGTGGTTGGCACACTCATGCAGATCCTGCTTATTTTCCATTATTGGGGTCAAACTAGATGCTTTGGTGTTCACGTTCCTTCATGTGTGCCATTAGGATGACGGATGCTGTGACAAAGGCCTTCTAACTTCTAAGTTATAAGTTTATTGTGATATGGTGTCCCATGTTTTGGTGTTGTGATTTGTACTTTAAGGTGCGAACATGTTATGTCGTTGCTTTGAACATGTCGTTTTGTTTTCCCCTTGTTTCCGACTGGCTCTCAAAGTCACGCCACACCACCGAGAGAGAGAGAGAGAGAGAGCGTCAGTGGTCTCAGGAAGTAGATAGGCAAACCTCGGTGGTTTTTATGGACCTATGTCAGATTGCAATGGCCGTGGCCTATGGTCGAACGAGATGTTGGCCTGGTGCCAAAGGATGACATTTTGGTGGTTTGGCCTGGAGTTTCACCCTATTTGCACTCTGATTTGCCTCGAAGCCGCTGTGCTTGCGCTTGGGCTTGTTGTGCTCCTTTCGCTCGCTGCGATGCCGGAAACACACTGATTTGGCTCAAATGGCGCCCAGGCCATTGTAGCCAACAGTCCGTGCCCCGCTTTGGAGTCCCACAGGCCTGGGCAAAGCGGCAGATGCAGCAGATGCATGGAGTTGACGTTGGTCCTTTCTTCTTTGGTTTATTTTTGTGTGTGTGGTGTGTGTGGTGTGGATGTAGGAGCTACACAATGCAGATTTCTGTTACCATACCATAGTGCCACATCATGTCAACTGAACCATTTCTTTTGCTTTCGCTTCTTTTTTTTGTGGGTCGTATGAGTTGTATGAGTTTGTTAGTATTTGCGTTTTTTTGCAACCACGTGCCGTGGCAGGTGATGGCTTCTCGAATGCGGATGTATCTTGCAGCCGGAGTTGCTCCTGGGCCTGGTAGCTGGTAGGACGATCCGGAGTTGCTCCACAGCCCTTCACATAGGCCATGGACATACGAAGATAAATGAGGACCTATTTTTGCATCATTGTCTCAATTGCATCACGTGCAATAGCCAGCATGGCTTCCAAGTTGCCCCTCTGTGGCTTTCAGCTGAGGCAGTACTTGCACTCATTGCTGCGGGTGACTCGTGCGAAACGCCTTCCGATGGGGTGGAGGGGAAGGAAATGGCCCTTCACAGTGTGGAGATGTGACCCTCTTCAGGATGGACGGGACGAAAAGACGGATGGAGAAGCCATGTCGTCCTCGAGTCCATGTTTCTGAAAGGGTGTTTTCCCTAGCCCCTTTGGGCCCCTTGGGCCTGGCGTTTGCCCGACGTTTTCAGAGGCCATCCGCCCAAAACAGGCCAAACTCAGTCGGAGTGGAACCGGTCGAAGTTCGCACATGGCCTGAAGAAGATTGGGTGATATTGGGTGTTTATCTTAGTAGGGAGATCCCCATCCCAACCCATGGCTTTTGGTCTATGTTCCTTCTTCCAGAGGGTCTTTGGGAGGTCTCACTATTTTAATGCACACCTGGATCAGCATCAAAATCCGTTCGAAGGACACACAAGGACTCATCCTCACGGTCACATACAAATCCTCCGAACTTCCTTGTGAACCCTATATATACTGCTCTAGAATATTAATCATTATTTGAGCATGTTGTTTCGAACTCGTTTCCACCATAAGACGGTTTGTGGAACCACTGGTTGCCTACAATAGGACAGCACTTAAAGTATCGAAACCATAGGATTTATGAATTCAAGTTACTAAAGGAATCTATACTCCAACTGCCTGTCCCTTACAGTAATAAAGAGCACCATCACCCGCCAGGCGATGCCTTCCTCACCTCCCCGGCAATTCCTTCCTCCCAGAAGTCGGTGGCCACCGCCTACCGCAGTACCGCGCGGGCTCCGAGGGAGGGAGGGACCCAAGCGGTGCGGTGCGGAGCGGTGTGGAGCGGAGGAGTGAGGACATCGAGGGCTTCGAAATGGGACATGGGCTTAGGCAGCATGCTATAAAAGGATTATGGTGTTTCTTCCATGGGCTCATGGCCTAAGTGTCCGCGCGCGAATCCCGGCGCTCGCTCCTCCGATCCGGTCGTCGTTGGGATTCGGGCGAAGCGACCGAGGTTCGAGGGAGTGAACTGAAGAGCTCCAAGGGCGACAGCTTCTGGAAGGCGGACGGAGCAGGAGTCGGAGTAGCAGTAGCAGCAACAGCAGTGATTAGCAGTAGTCAGTAGTAGTGCTAGCAATATATGAGCCACGGTCAAAACCGATGACGTCCATTTTTTAGTTGAAGAAGAATAAGGAGTTTTGACTATCCCTTATATGCAGTTCTGTTTTTGTTTTTTGGGGGGGAGGGGTGCGGGGTTGGAGCGAAGCCGAACTCACTGCTAGGAACTAGCCGGGTGCTGCGGTCGCGGTCTCGTCAAAAGAAAAGGGGTTTCGGAAGGCCACTTGCAGCTGACAAATACCGACTCGCAAGTCGCAGAAAAACATCTCTGAAATAGCATGAAATAGCTATAAATGTTGTTTACTATGACTATTCAGACTATTCACATGTATTTACTCGAGTATAAGGAAGTGGGGGGGGTTTGTGATGGTTCACAGGCCCCGACCGTGTCAGGCTGTTTCGAACGGGTCATGTTGGTGTGGGGTCGCCTTAGCTCGGACTGGTCTTCACAAGGGTGATGGATGGACGCCCATTCGGTGAACCCATTAGTATCCTTATACCCTATAAGGGATTCCAAGGGTGTTGACAAGCACTCCTTGGGCGGGCTTCATCTCTCTCTCTCTCTCTCATTTCTCTTCCGGCAACCACCTAAAACGAATCACAAACTTCTAACAACAATATGTAATAGGGATCAAGACCTGAACTGCCCAAAACCCAGTACATGACCTTGGGGTGATTTCAGGGATCAATGTAGGCCTACATATCTGTACCATTCTATCCATATAACTTACCAATGCACGCATCGTGTGTGTGTGTTGCGTGGGATCTACCGGCCGCAGGCTGCAGCCTCGATGACGCTGCTCAGCTTGTCAGTGGCCCGACTTGTGGGCAGCACAGCCAAGGCCGGGCATAGGGAAGTGGAGCTTGGAGCGAAGAATGGCTCCGTGGTTTCAAGCACGTTCAAACCTGCACATGCATGTGCCATTGAGTGCTACTGAGTGCTACTGAGTTTACCAGAAATGTCACTTTTAGGGGCCGGGAGGGTCTGGCTATGGTCATCATCGGAGTTGTTGATTGCTGAGGGTTATTAGGGAGGAGGACGCCACCATGGTCGCCACGGGTGCATGTTCCGACATCACCCAGAATCCCCAGCAGGAGATGTGATATGGGGGATCCTTCAGGAACACATGATGCTTTATCTAGATGTGAGTGACCATCGCTTCTAGGTTGGAGGCCACCGCTTCTACCTTGGAGGCCACCGCGTCTAGGTTGTAAGCCATCGCTCTTAGGTTGAAGGCCATCGTTTTATCTAGATTCTAGATATGAGTGACCCATCTACCCATTGGAGTTTGATCCAGGGTACAGAGCTGGCTTTCCAGTCTCACCAAGAAAGGGCTCCAGAATCCAGAAGTTGCTCATGTTGTGGCAGGCGTTTAGCAGTGTGTTTAGCCTTTGAAACACCTTCCTATCTTCAGGTTTATCCGAGTTTATCCATTCTATGTTATCTATCCTGAGTTTGGATGGTTTTTGTTGGTGAATTGACCGACTTGCCTGTGAATCAAACACGTTTTCCTCACGGCTGTGGAGATGTGGACAAAGATGACAAAGGTGTCTTCCAAGGGTTGCCAGGTATTGATGTTGTTCTTAGATATCTATTATAGGAATGCTGTATCTTCATATTACTGTATTATGATTGAGCGAGCTATCATGACTATCCTTATTATGCATCATGTCTTGGAAGGCTGTTCGTGACCCTCCTGCCAATACTTATCCTTCAGTGGAACTTAGATCACACTGCATGACTTCAAGACCATGGTTAGTAGTGACCGTGGTTTGTTGCACATGTGGATATGTTCCACTTCTGCGTGGAGGGGGGTCGCCTTCCTCACGGTGCAGTCTTCCTTCAAAGAACTGCGGGACGTTCCAGAATTTCCCACCATGGCACGAAAGATATATGTTGGCGATGGGCAAGGGGCAGCCTACTTGTACTGTATGGACTCACAAGCAATCCAACCTTCATTTGAACGATTTGTCATGATTTGTACTTAAGATCTTCTGGAGGAACATGTTCGTGCTTATTAACCAACGACCATATTCTGCAGGTGTTTCTCTGAAGTGGGCCAGTGTCGGGTCATGCCCGCCAGAGAGGGAGAGCCATTTGTTATGCATATTTATCTTTATTGTCTAAAAAAAATAAATATATATATATATATATGGAGTCATATATACATAATATGTATATTATATACTATATTTTTACTTGTATAGCTAACTGTATTATATATGCGTGCATATGGTGTTTTTATCGGACAGATGTGCTTCCTCGCAGGCTCACATTCACTTTTTTGCCACCCAACATCACCCAACAAATCAATTGGACACACAAAATGAACATCCTTGCAAGTACTAAGTACTCGTACAGTGACATACTATATACAGTGATTGTTCGAGTAGATAGCACAAGTTACCCTGGGGGGTCGGTGGTTTATATGACCCATTTGTCAGAGACATCTTAGGGGTGCCAGGTGCCATCTGAAACCACTGGTCACTGGGCAACACCCCAGGCGCCCAGTCGCCGTGTGGTCTCCGTGCGCTGCTGCGCTGCTGCGCCGTTGGTTGCGGCGGCCAGCCAGGTGAAGGATCGGAGCCCTCGAAGCTGAATCCGATTTCGTTGACAGGAACAGCTAAGTGGACTTAGAGATTCTGCTTTTCGTGTGTCAACCAGGCTTCAGATCCAACTGATCTCTTCAATTCTTTCGAGGCATTGGGATTTTGAAGAAGCCATTTGACTGGGAATTGATCTGGAAGTAAAAGCAGGGTTGAGAAGCAACCGATCCGGCTTCCAGAGTATTATTGCACACCGTCCAGAGTATGGCCACAAACACACCCCAGACACTCCATGGGACTGCCATATATGCCGATCAATTGACCCCTTTCCGACCACCCCTGGCCGTTTCTCGGCAGTCCGTCATGGCAGTCCCAGACGGGTCGTGTCTGGGAACAGCTCGTCGCGACCCACGTCGGTCGAAACGAAGGAGTGGACCGAGCGTCCAAGTCCCACCGTGACGGACCTCATCGACATGACCGTCCCTGAGATCACCCGTGGCGAGGTGGCGCTCGCATGCGCGAAACAGGGTGAAACTCACGGTGGTGTGGTGAAGGGAATCGGAACATCGGCATGGATGGGGGTTTCGATTGTTTTGCACGCCTTCAGGATCCTTTTGGGTTGGAGGCCATCGCTCTTTAGGTTGGAGCCCATCCCGCTTCTCCACCGAAAAAGTGGATGCCCAGCGGGTGGCCCGCGAATCGAGTCTCTCTCAGTGTGATTCTGCGGGGACTGCCTTTTGGGACTTTCTTTGGGCCGAGTCAAAACGGTCATTGATATCATTAGTCAGCTGAGCTGGGCAAGTGAGCAGCGAATGCCAGCAGGAGTAACGAAACAGACCGAAACATTCATGACACGCCCCGGCCTGGAATGCCCTAGAGGCCCCAGCCACGTCGATTTTGGGCGAATCCGTGTGGCGCTGTTCCAGCCCCTGGACCTCCATCAGCGTCCTTGCTCCTAGTAGATCTAGTAGTAAGGCCAGGAGCCCCGTTTGTAGCTTCTTGTTCCGTTCGAGTCGCGATGCCAGTTTCGCCCCGTTCGCTTCGCGTCCGATCGCTCCTCATCGCTTCCAGGTCCTGGAGGACATTTTCACTGAAGCGGGCATGGATCGCCCCTCGAGCCCTCTTCGGATCGCCCGCTTCATCGGCGATCCGGCTGCAGATAGTGGAAGTAGAGTGGAAGTCATCGCGGCACCCGCAGCTCTCTGAGAGTGTAATGCCGACAGCCGACAAATGTCCATCACCAGTTTTAAAGATTATCACCCATGCACTCACTCCATCATCCACTCCATCATCCATGGTAATACCATTGTGATATATACGGTTTGAACCTTGACCCCTGAAACCACCCGGTAAATGTGCCACTCCCGGGTCCCGTGGAGTGTCAGGGTCATAGGAAGACTGAGCCAAGCGTTTGTAGCGATTACTCGTTCCTTCATCTCCCGTTTTCGATCATCCTTTATGTGGTAAAATTTTCTGAAATGAACGCCTAGAAACCTATGAACTTCAAAGAAGTAACTTATATAAACCTATTGCGGTGAAGTAGAGTCACCTCAAAGTCAATATCTAGAAGTCCTAAAGACCTCGCAGGGAAGTGTTCGAGTGAATGGATGTTGAATTTGAGTACACGTGGATACACGAAGATACACGCCGGCACCGAAAAAGGCTTTACGGCTGAGGTGCTAGCCGCTTTCGTGCTGCCCGGCGTGCCGCGCGGAGCACTAGCCGCGCCACGCGCCACGCCACGGGAAAGAGACTATGTGAGCGCCCATCCACCGTGGTGATGACCCAGAGTTTCGATTTCAGCTCCTTGGTGCAAATTGTGGTGCAAAAAACATGTAAGTCGTGTATGACAGGACCAAAACTAGCACAGTTAGGCAACCTTTGCGAAGACCCCGAACAGGGTGGTCAAGAGTTACGTGGGGGATGTGGGCTTCGGCTCCGACTCCATCAATTTTGGATGTTAATTACAGCTGGCGAAACGTTGCGCCAAATGAAATCTAGTTGCGCCGATCACAGGGTGACACAGACCATCCAAACAATTCAGTCTTCAGGGCGATTGGTATCGATTGTTTCTCTAGTCCCGGTAACCTCCGAGCACAGCCCTACTTGCAGAGCCCACCACCTACCAGGGGTCGCTTCTTCGGAGGCAGTGGAGGCCTGGGCCATGTCTGACAGTCCGACATGGGAACACAGCTCCCAATGCAGGCACCCAAACCCAGAAGCTGCTCACCACACGGAGGCAGAACAAAGACCGTGACCTACCCCCGCCCAAAAAAGTGCTCCCCATATGTCCCCATCCTCCCAAAAAAACCTCTCCAAGATTCTCCAAGTAACTTCCACAAACCAGTCCGGTCAATCTTCCAGCGCATTCCAGTCCCAAGCATCTTTTGGATCTTTTTGGGTCCTCCAAGGCCGCCTCCGCCACCAGATCCAGAAGGGCCTCCGCATCTCCTCGCGCCGCCGCTGTGGACACAGCCGCCAGGGCCGCGGCGTGGCGGCTAGCTCATCCACGGCGATTTCTCGTGGCCGGGCGGATGTTCACCCGTGGTTCCTTCAGACGGGTCGTGGAAAATAGAGGGGCCATGTAAAACACCAGATGCGCCATTCATCTATATCGATATTGTCCCTATTGAGATCACCCAGACTGAAGCTCGTGACCCGCCCGGTGCCAGGTTTCAGGTCCGTGGCCAAAAAATAAAAGATATATGTAAAAAAACCTATGGCAAATATATTGTTATAATTCAAGATGCCCCCATTATTTTAGTTACTTATGTTGGGGGCAATAATAAAGATAAAATATATCATAAACAATATTGCAACACCAATCATAAAAAATAAGAGGAATTAATAATATTTGGTGTTGCAATAATCTCAATAAAAGATAAGAAATAAATAAACGAGTGCCGCCATCCAAGCTTTTGGGGTGACCCATTGGCCCAAAATCTTCCCAAACATATTCATCAGCTCTGTTTTGCAGGAGGATCCCGGGATCATCGTTTGGTCCGAACCAGATTCCTCAATCCTGGCGGGCCCTTGGCCAGTCGACAGTGGATCGTTCCAACAGGCCCGTCAGAGCCCCAACCCGTGGTTTTAAGAGCTTCGAAGGCACTCATGACGTGGCCCCGAACTTGAACAGATGGGGGTCCACTAAACCACCGAACCCTTAAAACGCCCTGGTGTTGGTTTTGGTGACTCAGAGGTGCCGACCCCCCAACTCGGTCGCACGGACTGAGGTCACAGCCTTATGGAAGTGCCTCGGAGACCCGCGGACGACGGAGACGCGACGAATCCACGTCTTCATTGAGTGATCACGAAGCAGTGACCAAGACATGGAGCCAGTAAAGACTAAAGACATAATATCCAGTCTGCTGGTTGCAGACCAATCACGTGCTTCCGACAGACCAATGAGGGGCTTCTTGAGCTTTGCTGTCTACTTACTGATTTTTAGTTCTTTTTGACCTCGATTCTGCTGACCTTCGGCTTCTCAAGGGGGCTTCGTTCACCAAGTCACCCACCGAAACCAACACGCAGCGGTTCGTCCGCCGTGGTCGGGAGGACCGTCCGGTTTGTAGCGGCTGAGGCAATCGAATCCATGAAGGGGGGAATCCCGGTGATTGTTACTGTTTGATGCGCCACGCTAGCCATGAGGATGTCTTTATTTTTATATTTTTAATGTATGTATGTGCGTGTGTGTGTGTGTGTCCACTCCTGTTTCCAAGGACACTACTCTAGTACTTTTCTAATCTACCCTACGAGCTTTTCTGTACAGAAGCAGGGGGGCAACCCCATGGATGCAGTTGGTTGTCCAACGAAGAGGGCTGCATTCCATGGCTGATATGATCCTGGGACGCTAGGATCACGTACCTGCAATTTTAATACTAATTTTGATTTTCAATCGCTGAGGTTTCTGAGTCAGTGCAACGCCGTCTCATACGTTGTTTCCTGCAGTATCTAGATTTAAAGGGCTAATGCGCACCGCGAAGCTACCTGAAATCACGCTCCACGGAGCAACCTTCTCAAGTGTGTCTTCGCAGCTTCTTCCCACTGTGGTGAGCTGTGTGATCCCTACGGGGCGCCGTTACCGCAAGAACCTGATCACTCCTCACCGAGGGAGTAAGTTTCCTGAATTTTCTCTGAAGTCCCTTAGACTGAATTTTACCTGCTCGAAATCAGCTTGGATCGTCTCACCCAGCACACGTGAAGATTACTGCAGAGTTCACTGAAATCCTTTCTGAATCCCACTGCAGAGTTAACTGAAAGAGTTTCACCCGGAAATCCATTCATTCCTTTCAAATCTTTTTAACCTTCCAAGTTTTAATTCCATTTTCCAGAATTTAATTGCGGTCATTCAATACACTCCACAACTTTTTCGACCTCACGGACCTTTATTTATTTTCATACATACATACATATTTTCACTGTCTTTGACTTGCCGAGCAGCCATGACGTATCCCTGGCCCTATTCTTTGCCGCCACACATCCATCCACAACCACAACCTACACAACCCCATTGGATTCAATATCCACCACAGGCTTCACCACAACCTTTTCCAACACTGCCACCAACTCCACCACAACACCCAACCTCACATCACTACCCATTGCCCACTGCACCTCCACCTCATGCTCAATACATCCAACCACATCAACTTCAGGCACATTTTCCAGTGCAACCTACGGCTCCCTTCGACACTACCCAACTTACGCAACAACATCCACATCTCACAACTCAATCACCACAATCCCAAGCCCACACACATCTTACATTGCCACTTCAATCTCAATCTCAACCTCAACCACCATCACTACCTCCTCAACCACATCTACCACATCAACTACATCCATCACCACATACGACAAATCAAACCCCTGCCACAACATCATTTCAACCACCACCACTACAAGCACCTGATGTACTACAAGCACCACCTGATCCAACAACAATCACTCCACAGCAGTTGACCATCTCCACCACCACCACCTTACACTTCAACAACCTCACCAGCGACTACTCAACCTGCTTCAGCATCCATCAACCCACCCGCACAGCCTCCGCCACCACACCACATTCCACGCACTACCAAGCCAACACCATCCATTGCACCCACACTCAGCACTACAAGAGGCATTTGGCGCGACCCAGATCGCTCACCACCACGCACACCTGAACACCACCGCTATTCAGCCTTTCCAGCCGTTCCCTCCATTGCACCATCACAAGCTACATCCAGATCCAGGAGCCGCACTCGATCACTACGTACCACACGCTCTCCACTACCAAGACGTCGAACGTCGAAGCTCCGCCACACACTCCGTGACTAGTTCTCAAGCACAATCCAAACCTGCAGATAGACAAGCATCACAATCACCAGCAATCACCCAAGACAAAGTTCACACTTCCATCCAAAGCATCACTACAGCTACTACTGCAAAACACACTCCAGAGTCAACTCACCGTACTTCCAGCATTACACTCAAGCCCAACCCACATTTCACTCCCAAACATCCCACAAAACAGACACTTCCACCACCACCAGCACCAACACCTGCATTTCCAGTACAACGTCGACCTCACAACTTGCCTCCTCCAACATTCCAACCACCCACTGATCCAGCACAATTGGATGTCTTCCAATGGCTCAACCGCTACGCACAAGCACTTGATGTCAAAAATGAACCCATGCTCTCCTACGTAGCCAAGGTACTCAGTGCAGCTCATCTCAACAGCACCCACTTTACCGACCTACAACTTCTCACCCACACAAAATGGAGCGATGACACCAACAAAGAAGAACATTATTCCTTCCTACTACTCACAATCCCCACACTAGCGAGCAGGGGCGACGCCCCGATTCTTCCTCCTACACGGAGAGAGGCGCTGAACATACCACCTATAAAACACATTTTTGCGGCACACGTTAGCGAGGAGGGCAACACCATTTCAATACTTGAAGCCGGAGAAATCGTGCGATCCATTCTGCATGATGATCACAATGTGGGCTATTTTTGTCAGGCGTTCGAATTGTCGAATTACGAGCCCCATGATGCTGCGGAAGCTGCACGCGTCCTCTTCAATGCTTCCAACATGGCCAAGAACCGCAGCGGCCTCATTCTGACGATCAAAGCCTATGGACACGGCCAGAAAGTCACTCATGGTGGCGAATCCGCAGCGAACGACTTGCTGCTCAGAGGAGAGGGGATTGTAAAATACACCCCAGGAAAATGCTGGGTGGCCCATCCCAAACATTCCAGAATAGAAGGGATAGCTTGGAAAAGCGATGCAAAGCCACCGCTCAGTTTCATTTAATTCAATCTATTCAGCTCACGAGGTTCATTTTTCACCCCGTATCTTGGATGACGACCTAGCCTCAAACAATCTCAGCCAGCCTGCCTGATATTGATATTGATTCTGATTTTTCTAACACATCGTTGTCAACTTCCTTTTCTTCCGATATGTTATTCTTGTACAGATTGATGCCGACAACATGATCTTCTTTACAGTCACTTTTCCAATTTTCCAGACTTGCAGCATGTCAGCATTCCTGGTTGATATCAAGCTTTTCGAAGAGAGTCACAAGCATTTCGAAGAGAGTCGCAAGATTTCCTGTGTTTTGCATCCTGCCCCGCAGCCATTTTGTACTATCTTGAATATTGAGCTCGATCCCTGACGACCACCCGAGCTATATTTGCTTCCCGACGAGTACCACGACGATGACTTCCCCTTTGGACACAGCATTTGCTCATCGACTTCTTTTAGCACACCTTCAAGCAGCCACCTCCATTGCTACTACTTTTCAAAACCTTCCACCATTTACACCGCAACTACCACAACAAGCACATCACCCACTCACTACCACTCCACCTTCTCCCCAAAGACCAGCCAGACGCACTCCTCCACTACTGCAACCGCAGCCGTCTTTCTCACGCAGCCGCAGTCCACCTCCCGCCAAAGGCAAACCATTCATGGAGTGCAAACCAGAACCTTCTCCTTCACATACGCCCACTTCACCACATCAGTTTTCACCACACCACCACAAGTCCAAAGCGACTCACCAACACAAGAACAATACAGACCTCCAGAAACAGCCTACACCACCAATCACAACGATTTCTCTCACCAGCTCGCCCAATTCACCTCCACAAACATCACCAGTTCCACCGATTCCGCCACTACCTACACCAGTACCACCTGCATCACCAGTACCACCATCAAAACCAGCACACATCCTCACGGATTCACCACACTATCCTGACAATGGAGGATGGGAACCCAGTGAAGATGAAAAACTTGCGGCCTTTAAACTCAACAAACGATCTCGCCCTAGTTGGAAATACATAGCAAAAGCACTCAACAAAACACCTTTTGATTGCAAAGGTCGATGGCAAGTCTTGCGAATTCTTTATACACCTCAACAGCCAGACAGTCCAGAAGCAGAAGCATCATCACCACACAAAGCATCTCATCAAGCAGAGGCAACTCCTCCAGCCACAAAAGGTGCCAGTACGATGACTACAGAACCTCCGGATCTGACCGACAAAGAGACATAGAATACACAACAGCAGTCTATGATCGTCCAAACAGAGCTTTCCACGACTTCTTGGTGCTGAAGAACATCCCGAACTATTGATGCCTTTGTACTGTATTTTATTGTCAATTCGTACATATTTACATATTGGCTTATTGCTTTTTGTCGTTCCAGCAGTTGCGAGCAATAGACTCCAACCCACAACACACCATTACAGCTTTCTTCCACACGTGCAGCAAAAACAAGATCGGTCGCCAGCAGTGCTCATTTTGTTTGAACACTCGCCACACACGACAAACTCTCGACCACTGACGCATCGCCAGTACTGTGTACAGACCAGGTTATTCCGTCTAATTCATCGTTTCATTGCATCCACGCGAATCACTTTCGAATGGTCTCCCTATTGTTGAACCTGATGAACTTTTCGTTTCCATGTTTTTGGGTGATCTTGACTACTTTTCCGCCTCCATTTTGATGTATTTGCAGCTCGGCTAGTTCAACTTAGCTCAGCCTTTCATTCTTGTACAGTTTTCACGACGACGACATCGCGATGGATTCAGATCCTGTTGGGACAGCCCTCGTTGCCTTGGATGCCCAGATCATTTCACAACTGCGAGATACAAACATCCAGATCAACCGGCTGATGGTACTACAACTCAATCGACTACATGATACTATTCGACAGTTACACTTAGCAGAATCCGACACCAGCACCCCCGACCCA